CTGCCCTGAGACTCTCCAACTCCACCCAACCTCTGAACCACAAAGACCCATCTTCTGAGCTCTAGTAACAAAACAAAAAATCCTTCAGGTCTGTCTCTTTGCCTTCCTGCCTACAGACGAGACTTGTCAGCTTGAAACCTGGAGAGCTTACTCTATTCCAATTTACTGTTCCAGTGTTGTCATAGACCCTATAGGAAAAAAAGTGGTTCCAATCTCAGGCCGGGGACCTCAGCTCTGTCCCTTTCTAGCCTGTTTCTCATCTGGAAACCAGCGTTGTGGGGAGTAAGTATGCTCCCATACTTTAACCCCTCAGCTTGGCGCCTGGCAGACAGAAAGCAATTGGTAATTGTTAGTCGTTAGTATCACTGCTCTGTTTTGTACCGTTTTTTTCCCAGGTAAACAGACCATTGCCTTCTCTCTCTGACCAGGCCCATGCAGCTGTCGTCCTCTCAACCTTGGGGTCTCTTTGCCAACAGGAAGTTTTATCTGATTCTGGCCCATCCTTTGGGCTTCAACTAGAGCTCACTCAGGAAGCCTTCTCAGATTCCCTAGGCAGTGAGATGCTCTGCTTGCACCAAGGCCCTCAGCATCAGATGCCTCTATGACAGGTGGCCCATACCACCTCACACGTCTCTTGTTTGCCCCCTCTGTGGCCCATTTGCCCTTGGAGACTTGGAATTCCTTGAGAGTAGGGTTGTGAATTCAGAATAGCCAGTCAGGGGCAATTTCACCGGCACAGAGAAAAGCTCAATAAAAAACTGCTAAATGAACAAATCCATCCACACAAGCTGCCCAGGACGGGGCTGCTGGCTCCCAGTGCCTCCCTGTCATCCTCACACCTCCCAGCAGGGTTGCTGGTAGACTCACCATTCCGGAGGCAATGCCTTTGGCAAACCTGACCTTCTGCTGCCAGGGGAACGGGTCCTGCAGGATGGGAGAGTGCCCATCAGAGGCTGTTGGGTCTATGCCCCAGTGTGGTCCTCTTGTGGAGCAATATGGTCTTGTGGGAAACCCTCCCCACGTTTGCCCGGTTGCACTTGGCATGGTCCTTGGTGGGGCAGGGGTGGAGAACATAAGGGGGGGGGGACCCTCTGGCCATTGTGGTTCCATGGGAGTGGTGGCATAGGCGCCCCACTGACAACCCTGCCACAGCTCCTGGTGGTTGTGGGGGTAGTGTGCTCACCACACTGCGCAGGAAGTCCTTCAGTGTGCCCCCCTCGATGTACTCCGTTAGCAGGTTCAGCTTCTTGTCCTTGTACAGCACGCCAATGAACTTGAGCACGTTGGGATGGTCCAGGCTACGCATCACTTTCACCTGGTTGGGGGCAGGGAAGGGAGGGTGGGCTTGGTTACTTCCCACTATGCCTTCCTCACCCTGTCTGTTAGGGAGACAGCCTGGCAATATCATCTACATCTCCCACCTTCAGCTTATGTGGTGTGGTGGGGCACTCAGATCAGGTGAGGGATAAGAGCCTCCACGTGGATCAGGATCCTACCTTTCTAGGAACCACACCTCAGGAACTAGAGTGGGTGGGTCCAAGAGGAATAGCACCCAGACAGGTGTAGCCAACTCAAGCCTATAGCAATGGAACCACCTGGGAGGTGACCCAGTGAAAACCATGTGAATGCTCAGAGGTCTCTTTCTCTGGGAGGCCCCACTCAGGGCGCCCTGAGCAAGTGCTCAGATGGCGGGTTAGAGCAGCAGGTTGGACAAAGTCGGGTCTGTTTCCATGTCCAACAGCCCCATAACCTCCTCTGAACCCTGTCCCATTTGTTATTACACCCCTAGCATCCAGCCTATAAAGGAGGTCAGGTGGCACAGTGCCTGAGGCATCTGACTGCTAACCAGAAGGTCAGTGGTTTGAGCCCACCAGCTGCTCCGCGGAAGGAAGATGGGGTGATCTACTTCCATAAAGATTTACTGCCTTGGAAACCCAATAGGGATCAGTATGAGTTGGAATCAACTCAATGGCAGTGGATAGATGTGGCTTTGGTTCACCCAGCTAGTGTGTCTTAGTAAATGTTCACTGAATAGTAATTTTGTTGTCACTTAGGGAGGCAGGAGCTTCCCTTGGGCACTCTTTTTCACTCGGTTTTCCACACAGTGATCCTAAACCAACTTTCCTCTCGAAACCATTATTTGTAAGGTATTTTCCCTTCTAATGGTCACATCAAACTCCAAATCACCCACTCCAGCTACTCACCTCGGTCAGAAAAGTCTTCTGCGTCTCCTCGTCACACCGAATTAACTCCTTCATGACCATCACTTTGCCTGTGGCTTTGTGTGTCACCTAGGGGGAGGGCAACTGTTAACAGCACAGAGACCAAAGGCAGCTAGTTCTGGAGAACGGTTCATGAAAATCTAGCAACTGGCCATCCATCCTTTGTGGGGGACACATTGAGCCTGATGACAGTGACAGAGCTCATATGAGGAAGACACAGCATGGCGGTGACAGGGGACTCAGCAGGGAGCATACCCTCTTCCCTGGAGAGCTGGGCATGCACAGAGGAGAATTAGAATCCAGAAAAGGGGGCTGGGAGAGGGCCAAGCCAGGCAGGGACTCCACTCATCTGGCACAGCAGTGAGTCGCTTGGGCTGCCCTGGTGAGCGTGTGGGGATAACAGGGTCAGTGCCACAGACATGCGCCAGGGAGCTGGGTGGGTCAGGGCGAGCTCTCCAGCCCTACTGCCCCCCAGGCTAATACACACTGCTTACCTGGCCCCCCCGCCCAGCTCTCAGCAGAGGAAAAGAGAGAGAGAGAGAGATTAATCCCAGAGACTGCTCATCAGGAAGGCAGGAGCCACTCCTGCATGCTCCTCACAGCAGGCTCAGCACCGAAGCCCGAGGGCACCTAGTAAACACCCACTGCTGGGACGCAGGGCGGCCCTGGGCTCGGCTCACCCTCACCTGGGCTCCAGGCCCAGCAAGCTCACTGCACCGGCAACGCTGCTCTTAGGTGGCCGGAGGGAAAATCCAACTCCTCACTCCATCACCAAGCCTTCGGAGGCCTCCCACCTGCAGCCCTGTTCTACAGGGGTGAAGCCATGAGATAAGAACTCCGGAGGGGCAAGCAGGTGTGGACGGCAGAAGAGCAAAGCAGCCGCTGCCTGCGCTCACCTTGATGGCCTGCCCGAAGAAGCCCTTCCCCAGGACCTCTCCGTGGATGAGGTCGCACGGCCGGAAGATCTGCTGTGAGCAGCTGCTGGAACAGCGGAGTGATTCCGAGCGGCTGATGTCCCGGGTGAGCAGCAAGGGCTCCTTTGGGGAGCTGGGACCAGGGGACTTGGAGATGCTGTTACTGCGTCTGAGGACAAGGAGAGGTAGGAGTAGGGATAGGGCAGTTTTTACAGACTTGCCAGGAAACCCTGGAGACAGGAACCTCAAGGGTACCCCATCTATTCCAAAGCCTGCAGTCAGGATGCTGAGATGGGGGAGGGGCTCTGACATCAGACAGATGGGTCATTTTGGGGGCTGCAGATAGCAGCTGTTCAAAAACAGTTAGTAAAAACACTTGGCAGAAAGTACTCTGAGTACTTCCTGCCTGGGACAATTGACTACCGTCTATTAGCTTCTAATGCCCACTCAGTGACAACACTGGAGACAGTAATCCACCACCTTCTGTATCTACATGATCCAAGGTACTGACTGGGTCGGAATGACAGTATGCCATCACCACCACCACAGCTGCCATGGAGCTAATTCTGACTCATGTGTGTCAGAGTAAACTGTGTTCCATAGGGTCTACATAGACGCTCTGGTGGCACAGCGCCTAAGGCATCTGACTGCTAACCAGAAGGCTGGTGGTTCAAACCCACCAGCCACTCCTCAGAAGGAAGACTGGGCAATCTACCTCTGTAGAGATAACCAAGAAAACCAAACTCACTGCCGTCAATTCAGATCTGACTCATAGAGACCCCTCCTTCGGTTTCTGAGGTGGTATCTCTACGGAAGTAGATTGCCCAGTCTTCCTTCCGAGGAGTGGCTAGGGGGTTTGAAACGCCAGCCTTCTGGTTAGCAGTCAAATGTCTTAGGCACCACACCACCAGATACCGCCTCGGAAACCCAAGGAGGGGTCGCTATGAGTAGGATCTGACAGTGAGTGAGTTGAGGGTCTTCATGGCTGATTTTTCAGAAGCAGATTGCCAAGGCTTTCTCTCGAGGCCCCTCAGGGTGGACTCAAACATCCAACCCTTCGGTTAGCAGCCCCAGAGATTCCAGTGACAGCATATTATCCAAGAAACCAGCAAATGAGATTTTTGGGGGTAGTCTGCACAGCTCTGTATCTAGCTCTATTTCCTGAATTTTAATAAAACAAGCATATATGACTGTCATTAAGAGTCAGGTCACTGTGTTTACATTTATAAAAGCAGCCAATAATAGCAGTGGTAGATGACTGCTACTTCGACTTACTGAACAAGGGACAAGGCTGAAGTCCCCAGCACTGCAGGTGATCTGCAGCCCCAGAAACGTCTGTCCGTGGCATGTTCTTATTTTACTGGGCTACCTGGAGAGGGCTGAGGTTGGCTGGCTCTTGGTTTGTCTTGCCCAGCAGGCTTGCTTGCCCTGCTCTTTTTCTCTTCCTCCTACAGACCATGCCCACGGGAGTACTCAGGCCAGCTGTCCCCTCTCCTTCATGACGGCCCTCCAGAGATGTGAGCAGCTCTCTTGCCACCCCCACGCCTTCCCTCTTCCAGTCGTGCAGTCCCGGGCTTTCTCTGCCCTCCGCTGCTCTGCCGTTACCAGCTCATTCATGTTACCAAGGCCATGGGCAGCCAGGAGTGATGGGCACCGTGGGGAGGGCTGTTTCCAGGAGATGCCAGGCAAGAAGGCTCTAAGTGACTAAGGCTGTTTGTTCAGGAGAATGGAGAAAGAATCTAATACTAACAACATCTCCCATTGACTGAGCTGACTCTATGCTGGCCGCTATACTTCTTTGTGTCCCTTTTCTCATTTGATCCTTACACCATTGGCCAAGATTAGAAGCCACTTTCCACTTCAACTCCATTTCACAGATACAGAAACTGAGGTACAGAAAGATGGAGGGATTTGTGCAGGGAGTCAGCCTGAAGCCTGGGACCGCACGTCTGCCTCCAGGGCTGGTGCTTGTGACTCCTCTCGGGGCTTTTGCCCCCAGGGAGACCGCTCCCTCCCCTTGGGCCCAGCAGACCTGAGGCCTGCCTGGGCTACTGGTCCCTCTCAAGTCTGAAACTCCTCTCCCATTTTATAGCTGTCCGAGTCCCGTATAGACTTTGTCACGCCTCTGTGTGCCCCTATTTCCCGGCGCTGAGTCCCACACTTCCCCCACATGCTGCCACCTCCCATCCAGCTCAGCAGCTCAGTGGACAGAGCCTGACCTTTGGTTTCTAAGGAAACCTGGCAGACAGCTGGGTCAGCACAATCCTGAAAGCCCAGCCCCTGCCAACTAGTTGTCTCCCTAACTCCGCTGGGATCTGCTGCATCTGAGGGATGGGCACAGGGACAGAGCAGAGCAGGGGTGGGAGGTGGCACCTCAAGGAGCGTCTCCTCAGTGTCCCCTCCAGGTTCTCCTTGGTGTCCAGGGTGCTGAGGGTAGGGGAGTGGCCAGTGCTCTGCATGTGGGGGGAGAGCCGTGCATCCAGCCGCAGCTGGTCCAGCCGTTGGGAGACGGGATCATGCTCAACCAGGAGCTGAAGTGTCTGGTTCGTCTGGCCAATTGCATCCTTTACCTGCGGTCAAGAGCAGTGTAAGGCTGGCATCCACAGGCCGACCCATCCTAGGACCACTCACCCTGCCCCAGAGGATCCAAGCACTGTGTGCCTCACGGCCTGCAGCTCCCAGCAGCTCCACAGTACCCTCTGCCTGGCATCCCTGCTGCCCTGATAACCTACCAGGCTAACACAGGAGGCCACTAGCGGTCACAGACTCAGCGCCAAGATAGAGAGACAGGGTGGGGAAAGGTAAAGGCCCCAACCTCATCGTCCAGAGGGCCTGTTCCACGATCTACCCCACAAGAAAGGATACACACTCTACCTCCTCCACTCGGAGTGTGCGGACGGGAGTCCCATTGATCTCCAGAATGCGATCCCCGGGGTGGATAGCATGGCGGTTGTTGGGACTGATATGCATCCGGTTGACCCTGTGACAGACAGGAAGTGAGGCAAGATGAAGGCGTCCTAAAGACTTAGCTGACCAACTTCATTCACCAGGCCCCAGGCCTGCCATTGGCCCAAAAGCCCAAGCCATCACTCTCTAGGAGTGCCCCATCTCAGTGAAAAGGCATCGCTACTCATCAAGTGGCTTGAGCCAGAAACTTGGACGTCCTCCTTCTAATCTTGAGTTCTCTTCTTGCTTCTCCCATCATCTCAGAGAATCCTGCCTCTTGAGAATCTGCCTGTCTATCCAGTTCTCCATCATCACGGTGACCATCCTTTCCCGGGATCATTACAACAGCCTCCTGACGGGTCTCTCCAGCTCTAGGCTTAGCCCCTTCCATCCAGTCTCTGCACTGGCAGTCCTTCTAAAATGCTGATCTGCTCACATCACCTTCCTGCTTAAACCCCTCAAGGGACGTTGCTGGGTTTTCATAATCCAGGCTTTGTCTGGCTACTCCCAACCACCCAATCTACACCAGACACAACCAGAGACTCCGTCCTCTGGGGACACGCTTCTCCCTTGGTCCTGAATACACATCCCTCCCTGCTTCATCTAATGAGACTTTAGAATAGACCTCATGTCCTCTTGACTTTCCCAACCCTAGTAGCTCTCACTTGTACTGCAAGCACCAGCCCAGTTCCCAGCACCCAGTGGGTACACAATAACGATTCAGGAAGGAAGTGCTGCAGAAGCCTCACCACTGGTATTAGCTGGACACAGACTCTTTCTCAACGTGGTCTCTGTCTTGGACCTAGAATGGGGTCTTAACCTCTTTTGGGCCATGACCTGATTTTATCCTCCTTCCTCCATTTACTCAACCAACCAAACAACAATCAACGAACACCTACTATCACATATTGTTCCAGGTCCTGGACGTGCAGTAACCATCAAGACAAAGTTCCTTCTGGAACTTACATTCTAGTGGGAAAGGCAGATGATAAATAAACTAAGGCACAGAATCAAATCAGATCATTTCACAGAGAAAACACTCTCCAAACCTCAAACCTCCAAGGTAACCAGATTGTGGTCTTTAGTATCTAGGCAGAAAGAATGGTAAGTGCCAAGGTCTAGGTGTGACTACAGCATAGTGGGCTCCAGGTGGAAGATAAGAGATGAGGATGAAAGGAGTTCTCACAAGACCCCCTGAGGCTTATCTATGGGCCCTGCTCAAAGACCCCCTTCTCTGGAGGCTCCATGCTCCCTGGGCAGATATGCGGCTACAAATCCTGCAAATACTCACTCTTTCACTTGCACGGTGGTGGCGTAGTTGGAGCAGGCACTCTCTACAGACACGGAGAAGCCTCGTCTGCCCTCAGTGGTGACTGGCATAGAGATGAGTGTGACGGAGTAGGGCAGTTGGTCTTGTACAGACTCCGTGGAGAGCCTCTCAAACATGGGTGTCAGCACCACCTCATTATGGCATTTCCCACTGGGGAGAAGGGCCACAAAATGAGCTGAGATTCTGGAGCCCTGCCTGGATCTCTCCCCACTCCCAGCAACCACCGCACCATGTAACTTCAAGTAACACCACTTATGGACCCACTCTTTGCCATGATTCCAGCTGGTTGCTCAAAATGGGGAGCCTGGGTTGTCTGAGATGGGCTGGATCTGCAGTGAGTGGTGTACTGGTCAAGGGTGAAAAGGACTTGGGTTGTCTCTTTGCTCTTGCCCTAGTCCCCTTCCCCTCTCTGGGCCTCAGTCTGACTTCTTTTGTCAGTCGAGGCAGTTGGACTACTAGGTGAGCTCTGAGGGGGGGTCTTTGTTTTTCCTCTTCTGCTATCCTCCTTGGAGAGTGCCTTTATTGCATTCTCTTCCTCTGGGGCAGAGTGTCATGAAACGGTAGGTAAGGAGGGCAGAGAGATGCCAGCTGTCTTGTTTACAGGGTACAGAGGTGGTTTCGGGCATTGCTATGATAGGGATCCAGTGCTCTGACACCCCTTGCTACCACCTGTCCCCTCTCCCCTGGCCACTCTCCTGGGGAGGAGGGACACAGGACTACACTCTTACCAGTAGAGGGTGGCATGCTGCACCAGTGCATATGTGTCCCCATCCTCGATGATCACCTTGCAGCTCATACAAGCAAAGCACTCTGGGTGGTACTTGAACTCACCGGCCACCTGCGAGCAGTTGAGGGAGGGTGCACAGGGAAAGAGGAAATGAGATGTCAGCCTAGTCCCTGGTCTCTCTTTCTTACTCCCTGAATACAATTTAGGTGTGTCATCCTCTCAACCTGTAACGTTCACCCATTGTATGTGTCTCTTCCATGCCCACTACCTACGCGCTCACGACACTGTCACAACTTTGAGGGAAGGATCTCGCCTGGCACTTTAAAAGTACTCAACACATACCTGTTGAGTGAATGAATAAATAAAGCAGGAAAACCCTGACTGATGGGAAGACCAGAAAAATGGCAGGCCATGGGGAACTGGAGGCACGGCCAATGGACTCTGAAGACCATGAAGGGCTGAGATGAAGGGACTCACTCACCATGACGGGCCCTGTCATCAGCAGAGAGCATCCGTGGCAGAACTCCCCAAACTTGCCCCAGTAGTCCTTGTGGCAGTAGAGCTTCCCATCCTTCTCGTAGTACCAGTTGGTGAGGGAATCTTGGCATTCTGAACACCTAGAAGGCAAGACAAGCAAAGAAACTCTCCTGGACCCCTGCAACCTGGTCACATAGGACAGGTCTCTCCTTACTCCAAAGCTAGGTTTGGGCAAAGTCACAGCTCAGTGGAACTCCCCAAAGGAAGCCAGCTCAGAGTTAATAAGGCCCCAGAAATCAGCGCTGTGCTGCCTGCCTCAGTTGGCCAACCAGCGTTTCTTAACCTCTTTGGGTCTTGGAGTCCTTTGAGAGTCTGATAAGAGCCAAGGGGGCTGCCCCAGAAAAATGCACATACAAGGAAAATGTGCATATGTATACTTGTCTTCTTTTAGGGTGGTGGTGGTGTCAAGGATTGCCTGAATCCTATTCCTGACTGTTAGGAACCTCATGGATCAGATAAGCATCTCAGGTCTAGACAGATTTCACCAGGAACCAAAGCAGTTCAATCACCTCCACTCTTCAAAATCTAGCAATCTCCCACAGCACTGCTGACTAAGATGTTAATCATAAAAAAGCAATTAGGCACCTCGAGACTATGGCCCCTAGTCACCCTTTAGGCCTAGAACTGAACTCACTCCCACGGCTTAACCTTCAGTCAAATAATAGACAAGCCTCCATGAGGTGAACCGTTGTCCCAGGGAGGTGCACTCCTCAGAACAAGCAACCAAGGGAATCAGAAGAGCAGTATTTGCACAGAGAGACAGCTCAGAGGGCAGGAATGCACAGGAAAGAAGGACACAGGGAAGAGGGAACCACAGGGGAGGTGCAAAAGGAGCTGTTACACTGTGGGGGGGGTGGGGGTGATTAACGTCATGAAACAAAATGGGTATGAACTGTGGAATAGAAAATCAATCTGCTCTGTAAACTTTCACCGAAATCACAACAAAAAGTTAGACCAAGAAAAGCAGCAGCAGCAGCAATCAGGCTAGTTCAGAATGTGGGCCATTTCACAAGATTACTGGTCCTGACTCTTTGAAAGCTAATGTCACAGGAAGAAAAAGAGACAGCGCTGTAAAAAGCCTAGAGAGAGAACAACCAAATAAAACACTTGAACCTTGGCTTCAATTCTGGAACAGAAAAAATCAAACAAACAAACTACAGCTGTGAGTGGCATTTTTTGAATTTGGACTACATACTAGGTTATATTATGAAATTATTGCCAATTTTCTTAATGTTATAATGATACTTTGGTTATGTAGGACAGTTTTTAGGAGAAACATATTAAAGTATTTAAAGGTAAAGACACAAGATGATTATAACTTTTAAGTAGTTCAGCAAAAGTAATAATAATTATACAGACAGTGAAAGAGAAAAGTAGCAAATATTTAACAAATGATGAATGTAGGTGAAGGGTACAAGGATGGTCTTTGAACTATTTTCTCAATTTTCTGTAGATTTGAAATTGTCAAAATAAATTACTGTAATCCTTGAAGTCATTTGGTAGCTAGAGAACAAATTGTCTTAAAAAAAAAAAAAAAAAAAACCTGAGTATCACCCATAAGTACTGTGCTCCTTTAAAAAATCACCTATATGAGACCAAACAATTACTTTAGAACAAAGATGAGAATGTAAGGGGCAGGGAAACTAGATTAATGGAAACAGAACCACCAGAAAGGAAATAATGAGAATGCTCACACAGTGTGAAGACTGTAACCAGTGTCACTGAACAACCTGTTAGAGACTGTTGAATGGGAACCTAAATTGCTATGTAAACCTTCACTGAAAACACAATAATATATTATTAAAAATAAAATAAAAGATGGGGAAGTGGGGGTGGAGAAGACTCTATTAACACTGCCCAAGACATAAACATGAGGATCCACAGCTCATCTCCAATAGCCACCTGGTTAGAAGTGCCTCCTCTCAGTCAGGCTGGGTTGTTCTCGGGCCAGGCCTACACAGACACCCTCCTCCTCATTCTGAGCCTCCTAGCACACAAAGCTAAGAAGGTCGTGGCCTGCTGACCTAGTGCCACTTCTTTCTTTCTAGTTAGCAGACTCCTCATTCTTGCTGTCAAGGCCTGGCACCATCCATGCTGGCTACATCCTTGCTTCTGAGAGACAGCATGGAGCTGGATGGCTCAGAGATTGAATTCTGACCCTGTCACTTACTAGTTACTTCATTGTGGGTAAGTTACTTCAATTCTCCGACCCAGTTTCTTCATCTGTAAAATGAATTGCTGCAGAAATTCAATGAAATCGTCTGTGTTAAAGCATAAAGCATAGGTGTTTATGTAAAAGGTCTAGTACACTAGGCATTCAACTGCTTTCTGCAATTGAAGACGATGATGATGACGGTAGCTTACCTTTTGGCCACTTACTGCCATTAAGTGGGTAGGCTTTGAACGTCATAGCTTTTCTTCCTGGACAAAATGCAACTAACAGCCTGCTACTACAAAGAGGTACTATGAGTTAACTGTGAGTAAATGCGGAAGGAGGGCAAGGCGATTGCACTGTTACAGTAACTCGCTAGGCACTGAGGCCCTGCAGATACAAAGATGAACACACAAGGTACCCACCTTGCCCTCTGAGAGCTTATAACTAGTTGGGGAAGAGGAAGTCTAAAGAAAACTTAATTAACACTACAAGGTGAGCAGCCAGAGTGCTACCTCTCCCCACCATGGAGGGGAGAGGTGGGAGGTGGGAGTGGCGGAAGAAAGCTAGGTGGGCACAGAGAGGAAGCCCTGCGAATCCCTTTCTCTTTGGAGTGACTGGTTACTCTGGGTGCTCAATACAGATGGCTCTGGTGCTGGCCACTCCGATCCTGTTGCTTTTCCCACTTATCCTATGGATGCTAAACTTCAGGGCCTTGGTATGGCGGGAAGGGTATGGCTATGAAGTGCCTAGAACTGTGCAGTGAGAACCACACATTAGAGAAGGCTGAGGGCAGGCCCTGGGCATGTGGCCCCAGCTCCTCCTGAAGTAAAAGACACAGTGGATGAGCTCTGAGTGCGGGACAGACCTGGGTTTAAGTTGTGGCATCTCCATGCCTTGCATAAGCCCCTTTCTGGGTTCGGATTTCCCATTTGTGAAATGATGAGATTGGAATAGACCCCAGGTGGCCCCAGCTCTGTGAGTACTTACATTTTTCTACTCACCCCAAGCTGCCTTGCCCCTCCCTCTAGCACTCAGCCCCACCTCATCAAGCCTTCCCTACTAAGTCCAGCCAATATGGATTTCCCGACTCATAAGCCTCACAATGGAGGCCCCTCATCCTCTGGGCTCACATATGGGTTTCCAGCCTCCTCCAATCTGCCTTTGACACTTGATTAGGGTAAGGTCTGGTCATGTTCTAGTCAAGAACTGCACTGTACTTTCCTTACTAAAGAGTCCTTCACTGGTCTTTAATGGGCCCATGCATCTAGAGCCCTCTACACGACAGACTTGCTGGTGGCAGAAACCATGTCACACACATCCACCATGTCTGCTAAGATTTAAAAAAAAAAAACCTGAGACCTGAATCAGGCTGACGGCTCTCCTCCCAGCCAGAATCCCAGGGCACACCAAGGCCAGGGCCAAAGCCCCAGTACCTTAGTTTCTGGTTCCCGACTGCTCTGAAGTCAAGTTAAGTCCTCCCTTCTCTGCCTGCTGAATTTCCACTCAACCTTCAGGCCTGGCTCCAATGCCAGGCTCTTGGGAAGGCCTTTATTGTTTGCCCTGCTACCTTTACTCTCTCAACTAACACCTTATGGTCACGTGGTGGCAATCGATCCCCAGAAAGGAAACACTTTACAGCTGTGAGAATAGGTTCAAATTGGTTATGAGATTCACTCAGGGGGGCACAGAAAGGACAAAGCCAGATCAAGACAGTCTAAGGCATGGCTACTTTAAAATCTTTCATCCATATTTAAAAGTTGAGGTATCTCACATAAAAATCCGGATTTTTCACATTAGGAACACTAATGTGGCAACAACTGGCAGGAGGTGAGCTGCAGTGGCCCTTTGAGATGAGGAATGTACTTTCTGATTTGCCACAGTCCTCACCATTCCCAATCATATCCCCGATACCAAGACTAAGCATCTGTTGCCATATGTCATTGTGCTTATTTTCTTCATAATAAATAATTTTCTGTAACCATCTCTCTATCAGAAATAGAAAAACTATGAAGATAAACGAAGAGGGTCATTTGGTTTGTCTTATTATCCTTCCTACTCCACTCTTAGGTTACCCGCCTAGCCCTTGAGACAAGTTGGGTTTGCAACCTCTGCAACAAAAGCAAAAGCACAGGCTTTGGAACCAGATGACCCAAGGTTCAAATCTCAACACCACCAACGTGACCTCAGACCACTTACCACCTAAGTGGCCTTGGGCAAGCTGCTTCTCCTCTCATTTGTGTAAGGGCCACATTGCCACCTACTCTTCAGGGTAGTACACTACTGCATACTCACTGCCATCGAGTCAATTATGACTCATAGTGACCCCCACTGGGTTTCCTAGGCTGTAAAGCTTTACGGAAGCAGATTGCCCCATCTTTCTCCTGTGGGGCAGCTGGTGGGTTCGAAACACAGCCCCATACCTTAACGACTACACCACTAGGGCTCTTTCAGGGTAGTAGTGAGGATTAAATGCAATTCTGAGTGGCTGTAAGGTGCCTGGCAAAGGGCCAGTACTAGAAGTAAAGATTTCCTTCTTCCTCTCCTGGGTACCCATCATCTTCCACTAAGCTGTGAACTCCCTGAAGACAAGACAAGAACAGTGTCCCATTTACTCTTGTAGGTTCAGCACCTAGTAAAGGGTCTGGCAGAGTAGGCCTGTAAGCAAATGTCTCCAAACTGTAAATGGTGGGAAGACGGGGTCCTGTGGCTCACAGTCACCAGGCCCTGCCCTCTTCCTGTCTGCAGTGGAGAAAAGCTGGCACAGACATATTTGCACCCCATGGCAGGCCTGGGCCCTGTTACACTCTTGCAATGGTATGTGCGCCGCGGGGCACGGGAGCACCAGAACACGTCCTCCTTTCCACTGCCAGTAAATATCCTGCTTTTGTTTGCTGCAAGTAGCCCTGGCCAGGCCTAG